AAAAAAAAAAGTTGGTTGCTGTTTTGAAGGAACATTCTTCTAGGTGGTACAGCACTTTTCTGTCAATTTGCTGTACTGTGGTAACCTAGGGTTGTTGTGATGCTGAACTTTTGTGCCATTGGGGTTTAAATGCCATAATAGTAACCCTTAGTGGACAGTGTTTGGTGGAGCTCCCAGTTTAAGACAGGTTTGGAAGCAGAAGTGGCATCCACTTCCTAAACAGCATGCCTCTGGAAACTATGAACTTTGAGAAACAACGATAGCTAGAGAACAGGATTCAGGTCTTTTCTATGTAGGGTTGTTATGAGTTGTGCTCTATTTGATGACTATCAACAACAATATAACTGAAGTGGAATTTTTCTGGAACAACAAAGTTATTTCCACAGAAATGTTGGTAAAATTGGTAGAGTTTGGAAAAATTGGAGAGTAACACCTTGTGTCATACTACACAATTATCGCAACCCAGAGTTCTGACAGTGGCACCAATGTGATTTCATTGTCATCTGTTAAAAAAAAAAACAAACCACAACCAACCAACCCACAATAAAATGCAACCTGGAATGTGCTATGAACATTTTAAACATGCCTTTCAAGATTTTCTGAATCTGTCATCCATTATTTTGTGGAAATGGTAAAATGGGGATGCTCCATATATTATTTGTGTTTGTATTCCCATTATACAAGCTACAGACTTTTGCTCAACATTTAGCACTTTTTTCTTGGACTGCTGCACTCGAACAATAGAACCTTGGTCTTAACAGTACCCTTTGATATGCTACAGCCCGTGATATACGTAGACAGGGTGCTTTGTGCATTTTTTTACCACACCAGAAAGTTAAAGAAAATGAACTTCTTGTGCATTTGTTTGAGAGGAAATTTTAATACATTCACCAAATTAAATGAAAGGACAATAATATACTGTAGACACAACTTTTGAGACATTTAAAATCATAAACAAAATGTGAGGTAGACTGACTAGTGAAATTCACCAAAGTTTGGTTAAGAAAATTTTACAGTAATAAAGAAATAAGAGGTGCCCCCTTTTCTAAAAATCACAAAAAAGCAATTGCATAAATTACAGGCAAAAAAAAAAATTCTCATTCTAATACTTAGTTTACATTCAATATTAACCTGTGTGAACTGCCATACATGCCAAGATTCAACAGGTCTAACAACAGGTAAATTATTATGCTGACCTAGTTAATACATTCACACCATATCAATATTCTAAGGGATGGCAAGGCTTCAAGTTGAACACACCAAGATGTATTATTAACAGATCATGGTGTCCTGTACTTGTGCAATTTTGTCCTTAAAGGAGAAGGACCTAACATTCTCTACAGAATTATACTGATAAGGTGATTTGAAAAAAATAAAAAAATCCAAGCCTTATTAGTAAGATAGAATTTGAGAATAAGCAAGTTAATTTGAGTTTCTGCATCTGCAGTACTGGGGTGATAGTTGATTTTTGGCTTTATTCTGGCATTTCTTTTTTCACAGAATTAACTAATACTTAAGAGATCACAATCATTTATATTTTCAGAGTGCAGCCCTAACTAATACAGAGTACCTGCATTTAAAGTAACTACTTTAAAAATATTCTTTAGACTATGAAGTCCTACAGCCAGAAGAAACCCTGAGAGGCCATCTGCCCCAGGTAAAAAAAGGATTTTAGAATTATTTCAAGTATTTTATTTGCCCTTTTTAAATAAAAGGTATTGGCATATTGCACAAACAGTGGGGTTACTTGATATGGTCCATATTAGGCCCTTCAAAAAAAAACAACCCAAAAAACCAGGAACAATTGAAATTGAAATTTATTCATATCTGAACCAACCTACTTCAACACGTACCTCTTTGCAAAAAATGTGCTATACTAAAATAAGGCAAGTTCTCTTTGAAGGACAAAAATGAGATTAAAAGGAATTGTTCATTTAAAAAAACATTTAAAGCATAATTAGTTCTTTTAAAGCTAAGATCTGCAAGCCATTTTTAGCCAGATACATTCCATCTTTTTACTAGCTGTAAACTCCTTGTTATCACAAGATAATAAAGCTGGTAATGAACACTATTTGTTCTAAATAAATGCAGGCGTTAGTAGGCTCTTCTCAGTAGTGTCAGGTCATGAGCAAGACAAGGATTCAAGTAAAAATGGCCATTTTCTGAGAAATGAGAGGAAAAAGTAATAAAGACGGGCTAGGAAGAAAATCCAAAAGGATTGTTTAATGATAAGGACTGGAACAATTAAGAGTGCATGTCCAAGGAACAGAACATTTTAAAAAATCTATTAAAATAGCAATCTGTGGAACGTGTTTCCCACTGCCGATACTGGACGGATGACCAGCTGCACATTCTTACTGTGGCATCCTGGTGTGTGAAGGGTCGAATCACGCAGCCTCGCTTTTCCATGGCTCATCTTTTGGAAGCTGTCTGGCAAGCTTCATCCTCTGGGGCTGTTCTGGATAGACCTGGGCCACCAACCTTTCACTTAGCAGCCAATCATGTAAACGGTTTGCACAAACCATGGATTCCACTGGACAATAAAACTCTGTTGCCATCAAGTCAGTTTGGTCTGTGCAGGCCCTGGTGGATCAGAACTGTGCTCCTAAATGCACTACATACTCCACAGCATTTTCAGATGGTGCATTTTCAAAAGCAGGTCATCAAGCCTTCTGAGTCCATCTGGATGGATGTGGACTGCCGTCTTTCATTTAGCAGCCATGTATGTTAACTGCACCTGTCATTTGTCATTCATTCACCGTCCTGTTACCTGACAAACACTCTTGTGTTAACAGCAATGTCTCCACGGGGGATTTCTCCATGCAGGAGAGCTGGTTTTGATTTTCTGTCCAGTTTCTCTCATGCCTGTCAGTGGATGCCTGTGGTGTTCGGATTACGAACGGTTACAGGTGTAATGTCCAGATTCAGACTAGGAAGACAGGCCTCGCTTCAGATCTACTTCTGAACAGAAGCCAGTGAAAGAAAACCATGATCACAATGGGGCACAATCGGTGTGTAACTGATCCTGTGGGTGGCATGAGTCGGGGGCTGAGCCAGAACAACTAAAAAACAACGAGTTCAAAACCTGAATGGAATCTCCCTTACTCACCATAGAAGAATCACTCATAGGAGTCAGTAAAACAACTCTCCTTTTTTTATGACCCTACTTCCCAATTTCCATTTCTTCAATTTTCTGTGTTGCTTGTCATATAAGGCAGCTAATACTTGGTGCGTCTTTTTAAGAAAACTTAGTTTGAGTCCTTGAAAGGAAAAAAAAATTCGTCCACACAGAATCTCCTCAACAGACCCACTAGTGATCCTGATTCGGTGACTCTAAAGTTCTACAGAGTAGAATCGTCTCGCAGGGTTTCCCAGACCAGGACTCTTCACAGAAGCTGCTGGTGGCCACCCAGCTGGCCTTCCGGTTCCCAAGAAGGTGTTTTAGCCACTGTGCTACTAGGCTCCTCCCCACAAAACCTCATCCTGCCATTTCTGTTTGCTAGTGTCAAGTAGAAGCACTCCCTGGATTGTGAACATCTGATTTATATATGTATGAACAAACCTCTGTAAAACCTGGGACATTAACAATTAGAAATACATACAGTGGTTTGTAACGAAATAGCTACCACCTTACTACACCCACGGGACGTTATTATGATTGCAGTGTGATGGTAAAGATGTCCTAGTGTCGCCAGAAGAGTTTTCATCAATGCGTTTTATGCACAGAGAAGTACCTTACATATTAAGACACACTGACATTAGGTAGGAATTGTATCTAACTGGTCCATCTTTACATACCAATTGGACTCAACCAGATTTTAAGAATAAAACGTGTTGGTAATCTGGGGACTGCCTACGCTAATTCCTACCAAGCAGGGTACATGGGGGGCAGCTGCACAGAGCTCTCAAGTGGTCACTTCGTGGACACTGCTCCTTAGAATGTGCTGAAGACTGCGGACGCTTTACAAGGATGGACAACGCGAAGGTGTGAGGCTAGAAGCTACACGAACACACTTAATGCCTGCTCTGTACTCTCATGTTTGTTCAGTTTAAATAGTAAACTTTTAACTCCTGTGGAAATTTTGCCAAAAGTTTCAATACATATAAGATTATAAATCTTAAACTAACACTGCACAGAGAAAAGACAAGGCTACTTCTTGTTTTAAATACAAGTATCTTCTACATTCTATCATTTCAGACCCCTGAGTAATACTGTACCAAAGTACAGATCTGAAGAGAAACTGAGGCTTCACGCCTCAAGTGTTAATCTTCAGTTTAGTCCACACCAGCGGTGTGAGTCTCATGTAACACATTCAGGCTGGCTAATGCTGAAAGTCGAGTTTTCCTCCTAACGTGTAGCAGAAAAAACAATGCAAACGCCATCTTCATTCTCCAAAGTCTCCTCCTCAGCATCCCACCTCGGCTGGAGTTCACCTGAATTCAAGGTCCTGGAATTGAAACTGAAGGGGAGAGTTGTGCCCCACAGACCTGGGTCACATTTGGGGGTTCTTTGGAGAACAGACAAATATATGTTGCACTTTGCTCCACAGTGATTGTACTTTAAAGGAAAGAAAAAAATCCCAAATAATTGTTTGTGCCCCACCCCACCTCAGCATCCCTTTGCTCTTCTTATTCTCTTCCAAACACTCATACATGCCGTCCAGTCAGGAAGTAGAGGGGCTTGTCCTCACTGCTGTTCGCAGTCTGAAACTCGTCTCTCAGGCGAAAATGCCACTCGTCTTCCAGCTCCAGGCGGACGATTGTTTGGCGTAAGGAGCTTCTGTCTTGGCAGATGACACACAGGGTAGCACCTTCAGAAAAAGCCAGAAATGTGTCTTAGGTTGAGATTGAAAATGGAAAGAACTTCTCTCTGACACTATTATTTAAGCTAACACATCTGAGAGTCCTTCACGTAGGTGAGCAGTCTGTCAAGATTGTTAATTTATTCAAGTAATGAAACACCAAAAGTTAAAAAAGTAAAACGGAAAAACCTCACAGCCAGATCTGCCTGGTGCTCGCCAGTGTGTTTGTTTTCTGTGCATTCCTCTCACTCAGACCTCGAAACTTGCTGACCTTGGGTCAAAGGAACCCTCTGTTGGGTTTCTGACCCTAGAAATCTTTCTCCCTTGGCACTGCTGGTGAATTAGAACCACTGGAAACAGTCTTGCTAGCAGTGCAACATGCTACAGACGACAGACACCACAGAGCTCCCGTGTGGCCCCAGGACAGGGCTCCTCCACCCTGGGGCTAGTGGGCTGGGTAATTTTTTTGTTTTGGAGGTCTGTCCTGTGTCTAGTATTTAGCATTCTCTGGCTTCAATTACTAGATGCCAGCAGATTGCCAACCAAAAATGTATCTGTTGTTGATTGCCATCAAGTCAAGCATGACTCATAGTGACCCTCTGAACAAAAGACCTGAAGTCTTTCTAGAACTACTGTCATTTCTCAAAGTCCATATAATTTCCAGAGGCATATTGTTTAGGAGGCAAATACCACTCTTCCAAAAATGTGTCTGGGCACTGAGCAATGCCCTCAGGAAACAAAACTGCCCCCTGGTTGTTGTTGTTGTTAGGTACTGTCCAGTCAGAACTGACCCACAGCTGACCCTCCAGTGGGTTTCAGAGGCAGTTAATTACACAGGAGATTACCCAGTCTTCGTCTGCAAAGCAGCTGTTGGATTTGAACCACATGCCTTTGGAATTGCAGTGTAGTTTCTTACCACTTTATACATATACAGAAAATGCACATTTAAAAATTTAAAAGTATATTTTATTTAAATCCATAAGCATTACTGTTTGTTTGAATTGCTCACATAAACCCATTCCATCCCAAAAGGATACAGTGCTTTTAATGGTGCAAACACAACTGACATGGTCTACCCAACTGTCATCCACTCGAAGTTTGAAAAAAAAACCCAACCCACCAAAATTAAGCATAGTAATGCCATAAAACAGATGCTTTAGTTCTTAGAACTAACAGACATTTTCAGAATCATTTTGATGTTTAAAAACAATCAAAACTCAATCATGACAGAGAAATCCACCAAGCTGAGTTTTGATAACCAAGCTGCCACTGAACATAATGCCTAAGTAATGGCAGCCCAGAGAGGTAATTTCTCACAAATAGGAGAAGCACCCCTTCTACAGGAATAACTGGGGTGTCCCCAGAATAGTCAGTGCCTTCCTCCACTGCCTTTTCCCTCCCAGTGGTCCTCAGGCCTGACTTCTGGGAGGGCACTGTTCAAATTCAACAAAAGCTTGTTGACAGAGACTCGTGAAAGAGGTGTTGTGAGGTACTAAGTTTTAAGATACAATCTAAATACTAAAAATAATGATGGTATATTAGACACTTGAATCTATTTATTGTTTTCAGTACATTAATTATTTTTTACATGCTTAGCCTACATTCTTTTTCATAGGATAGTTGTGAGGATTTTAAATGAGATACAGTTTGTATGGCCTAGTCTACTGTTTGGATACTGAGCTAATATTATTTCTATTCCCTTCCTCACCATAAAGTAAATGAGCTTAGTCCTTGCACTTTGAGAATATTTGATAATGGAAATAAATTAGTCTTCTATCAGCATCCTTGTCAGCATAATTCTGAACCACTCCCAGGGGTATCTTCTCTTTTGTAAAAGAAATATTTTATACTGTTTGGAGTACAAAGTTTCATTTTTGCTCAGTGTTCCTTACTTGCCATTGTGAAAACTTATTTCTGAGGAACTGAAACCCCAAAAGATGGCACAACAAAAACACACTAAATGATTTATTTTTCTCTTTTTTTAAGGGATAATTTTCAAAGACTTGAAGAGAAGTCATATTTAGTAATAAAAGGCAAATATAGCCTCTAAAGGGAACTGTTCTAATTATTTGCTAGAACTGTAAAGTTGTACAACTATATTCAAGGACATAAGTTCAAGCAATACTTAAACACCAAAATAACTGAACACTGGCAGAAAATACAGAAGTAGAAAACAATGGGGAAGAGAAATGAACTTAAGGATCATTTAAATTGGGACAATGATCTCGTACTCCTAGGAGCTCTTGTAATTTGAACATCTTGAGTCTTATTATTTCTTCCCTAACTCCTCAATATCTTTGTTGAAATCTCAGAGCAGTATTATCAAGAACTGACAATAGTTATCATTTTGTTAGGATTCAAAATTTCAATCCAGTAACCATCAGGATCTTGAATAAATTCCAGGCTTTCCACTTTACCATCATCAGGTTTCTTCACAAATTTGACTCCCAGGTCTTCAAATCTTTCACAAGCACCGTAAACCTCAGGGACAATTCCAATGTGACTAAATCCTCGGAGGTCTCAATGTCCACTATGGTAACTGGCGGGCATCATCTTTAGTGCTCCAATTGTGGGTTAGCTCAACTGTAGCTTTTCTGGAGAACACCCAGGCTGTTTTTTCATTTCCATCTTTGGGGATGTCATTTTTATCCTCATAACCCAAGAAATAGAGTGAAAACTTTACTGTGGGGAAATCTAACTTTTGGAGCAGCAGCATCCCAAGAATTCTAGTATAAAAATCTAAAGACTTCTTCGGGTCGTTAATCCGTAGCATGGTCTGCTGCAGTAGAAAATCCTTGGTGTGGGGGTCAGGGTCGGAGCAGCAATTGACGGCAGCCTCTTCAGTGAGCCCACAGGACACAGGTTGTGAGCTTGCCACAGTCAGACCACCAAACAAGCACACCAAAGAAGCTGGGAGCTAAACACCACTTGATTGAAAACGCACACTTCATCAAAAGCGCAGCACGGTGTGCACAATTTTCTGAACGTTGGTTTTTTCCACTGACCTTAAATGATTCAACATCATTCATTGATTAAGTGACTCAGAGATGAGGCTTATTAGTCATACTTAATCCTCAGTTTATTCTTTGTTACATCTACTTTTATATGTCTATCCACTGCAACAGCTTCACCATTTGAGTCATAATCGCATTAAAGGTTTACGTTAATCGTACAGATGTGGTGCTGTTGACTGCTGTCTCAGGCAACATGCTGTTACATTCAAGTTACTGTAGAGTGTTAACATACGTGATAGGAAGTAGACTCCATAATCTGACTTTTATTCATACTGGGATGCTTGAGAAGCATTACTTCTATTCATCTAGTATTAGATGATTTCACCCTAAAGTTCAAAGTGGCAGAAACCTACTTCATATTGTCACAAATCTGGCTCTTTAACAGCATTTACAGTTTAAGGATAACAATGACTTGATCTGGACCTCTCCCCACCCCCTAGTTGAATTAGTGTCCCTGGCTTAAAAAGAATGGTATTCAATTTATTGACAAAAAGTAGGATTAAGGTAATTTTTAATCTTTCTCATCTACATGTTGTTCAGTGGGAACCTGAGAGTGGTCACAAAGCAAACATGAAAGCCAATTTACCTTTTAGAAACTTAAATTTCTTAAGAAGATCAGCACCTACGAAGGAGTCGCAGAGGTACAAGAGCAGCCCACTGAAAAACACAGTGTCACAGCTGACGTTGCTGGAGTGGGGCCTGGAGCTAACATAGCAGATGGCCACCTGGAATCAGCAAGCAGAAAGAGCAGTCATTTCTAAAGCAAGCTGCACTGTCACTGAATGACATTTCATGTATGTATGAAACAGGATTTTTCTATATCTGTCTCAGGGAAAGGTACAGAGACGAAAAGAGAGGTAAAGAGAAGGAAAAGTAAAGAGACAAACACTGGTTTATCTGTTATTCAAAGTGTCCCTCTTTATAGAAGGTGCCAATACCTTTTTTTTTTAAATGAGAAGAAACAAAATAAACCTCTTAATCTAAAAAACTTTACCTTCCACAAAAAAAAAGATACACTTAGGGTAAATTAAATCTTAGAGCATCTATTTTTAATTAACTTTTTATTTGGTGGTGGTTGTTGTTATGTGCCGTCAAGTCACTTGCAACTCAGTGACCCTATGTGCAACAACCCTAAACCTTGCTCTATCCTGGGCCAATCTTATTGTTTCTGACCTACTTAAATTTTCAACTGCATATAAGATAATAGAAATTATTTCAACTGAATTATATGCGACTAAGTTTTTTAGCTCCAAAAATCGCTTTTATGTACATAATTTAACTTCGCGGAAATTGCAGGGATGTGACTAAGACAGTTGGAAGACCTTTTAAGCTTAAGAGTTAAAAATGGTGGAACAGGTGGCTGCATGCTGAATGCTTGTGTTCAAACACTAGGTCCTGCAACAATGAATAAAAATGTTTTACAAAGGTGAGCTGGGGGTGGGGGGCAGTAGGGAGGAAAATATTCAAGAATGAATGAAAATCCAACTTTTCTGTAAACTTTCATTAAAATCACAATAAAAAACCACTATGGCTGTGTGACACATTTCATACTAAGTATGTACTTTGTAATTATGGAGAGACAAGAAATAAAAACTACCATTAGTTTGTGATCACGTGGTCTAATACTGAGAGTCCTGGACTCTTGGGTAAGAGTACTGAGACTTGTGATTTATAATCCAATCCACAGGGCAGAATACGAAAGCAGCATAAAAACTGAGACTGTAAAATGCATATACACAGTTAGATTCTAAAATTCAGGTCCCCAAACAGAATACTGTCTAATTCCATTGTAAGGAAAGCAGGGCATGTGTGTGCATATATATTCATTTACAACTCTATTTACCTGTTCAGCATCATCGCCATGCTCTACTATGTGCCTGGGACATAAGACACAGTTCTTCTTATGAAGAACTTAGGCTTGCGGAGAAAAGTCCCCACAGAGGTACCATGTGACTAATGACATGCAGGCCGTTAAGAGGCTTCTCAGAGGAGCGCACGTGCTGAGCAGTGCTTGCTGACTTGTTCTGGGGATGTGAACTAGCTCTGAGAGCAACAACTGTCATTACCTTTTAAACGAGGTTTTGTCTATGTGAGTTACATCTCACAGGCTCCTTGACATGTGTGGCTTTAAAAAAATTTTTTTTTATTAATTTTAATGAAAATTTAAAAAGAGACTTTGGATTTCCATTCATTCATTGTTGCACTTTTCTCCCTGTTTGCCCCTCCCACTGCAGTTGGCTCTTCTCTTTTAAAAGTAAAAGAACCCTGAAACCTACAGCATCCCTTTTCAGCAGGAAGTAGCTAAGAGAATACGCCGCCCCCCCTTTTCCTTATGAATCAGGGTGAAGTCTCTCTCAGGGAGGAGTGATAGAGAATGGCAAGCGATACACTGACAAAGGAGATTAATCAGAACTGGCTTTAACAAGGACTGTGGCAAT